CTCCTTCTCCTTCTCCTTCTCCTCCTTCTCCTCCTTCTCCTCCTTCTCCTCCTTCTCCTCCTTCTCCTCCTTCTCCTCCTTCTCCTCCTTCTCCTCCTCCTTCTCCTCCTTCTCCTCCTCCTTCTCCTCCTTCTCCTTCTCCTTCTTCTTCTTCTTTTCTTCTTCTTCTTCTTCTGGATCTGGGGATTGAACTCAGACCCTTGCGCTTGCCAGGCAAACGCTTACTCTACTGAACCATCTCCCTGGCTCCTGACCCCGCTTCTGAAGGGTGTTTTATTGAGCAATACCACGAGGCGAACAGTGTATAAGATGGGACAAAATAGTTGCTCACGTAATACTGATCCAATGGGAAGCCACAAGGTGGTTGTGAGGTGGGACAAATATAGAGAAACAGTAAGATTACAAGTATCATTGCTTGGGTAATATTGCTTAAATAGGGATCAAATAAGCAAGTTGCATAGTACATGTATGCAGACCTAGCAAGGATTTTCCGGGAAGGGCCCCCAGCCAAGGCGCTTGATGTCTGTTTAGAATATCATGGCTGCTGTTCATTCCTAGGGAAAGTATGTGTGTATGTGTGCGTGTGGTCCTTCCTCTTTTCCCGGAAGCCTGGCCTTCAGTGAATGTGCCTACAGCCACAGCTGTCTTCTGCACTGACCTCCAGGGCCCAGCCCTGTCTGACTGCTTTGCTATTTCTTTCTTTTTTCTTTTTTTTTTTTTTTGCAGTACTGGGGCCTGAACTCAGGACCTTACACTTGCCAGGCAAGCCCTTATTCTACTGAGATATCTTCCCAGCCCTGCCTTATTTCTTTTTGAAAATTTTATTTATTTATTTTCTGGGAACAGTGACAAACAGATCAAGGAGGCGTTTGTTTTTAGCTACAGTTCTGCCTTGTTATTTCTGAATAACTTAGCTGTCTACAATACATAAATAGGTCTATGGGCCAGGACACGCATGCATGCGTGCACACACCACAGGTATTGTATGCTTGGGGGGCTCTGCTGGCCTCTATTCTCTCTTGGGGGGCATTTCTAGGCCCACAGGGGAATGGCCTATGGTGCCTGAGTGACAGGGCAGCAGAACTCCCAGTGACCACCCACACCTCCCTCTCCCTAGGCCTATCACCAAGCCAGGTCTATTCCTGGGCACCCAGTAGGCCAGTTGCTAAAAGGGTGAGTTTTGTAAAGGAGAAAGAGTGGCCCAGGGTGTGGTGACCAGCCATCCCCTTGCTACTTGAGGGATAGACCAGAGAGGTGTGGTGGAAGGCACAGGCGGCAGGGCTGTGACAGCATGGTGACGATGGTGGTGATCGTGTGCCCACAAGCAGACTTCTGCAGCTTTTCACTGACATGCTTCTGGAAGGGGGCTGTGAGCAGGGGGCTGGGTGGAGTCTGTGCTTTTCCACCCTCAAAACTTCTCTGCCCTCACCCTTCAGACTCTTCAGGGCCCGAAGGAAGGGGTTGTGGCAAGCCTGCAGGTCTGAGCTGCTCAACAGGACCTTTAAGTTCCAGAAATCAACATAAACTGTCATGGCAGGGTAGTAAGTCAGAGCATGTGGTTCATAGCAAAGGTACACTTTATCATTTAGCTAAGCCCTTCCTTCCCTTTCCTTCTTTTTTTTTTTTTTTTCCTTTCCTCTTATTTTAGCTGTTTCTAAGATCAGTCACAGAAGCAGGAAAATAGAGACCAGTGAAACTGGAAGCTTTATTGAGGTTTCCCTCAGTTTCACCCCAAGGAGGACAGCCAGGAAGGCTGCCCTTAAGAGTCCCTACAGAAGCCTCTCCACTCAGGTGATGTCCTGGGTCCCCTCTGCCTGTCCACAGTCAGGGTCTGGCAGGGGGCGGGGCATAAGGCAGGGGTGGTGAACCAATGACACAAG